ATCAATGATACGATAGGTACTTATGTGTCAGTGTAACTTATGGGAAAAGTTTTTTAAAACAATAGTTCAAGATTCGATATTTTATATACTTCTTTCAAAATGATAATATAATTATAATATATATATTATTATTATTATTATTATTATTATTATTATTATATAATTATAATATCATTGTAATAATAATAATTAAGGGCACCAGCCTGTATATTTGTATAAAATAAAATAATCCTGACTTCCCATGAGGTTTCTCAATAAGGCCTAGTATTCATCACGAAATAAAATATAAATATATCAAATTAAATAAATATGTACGTGTGTACCTATACAACGATTATATTCCGATAATTGTTCTATTATAATAATTAGAGAGTTTGATATTTGAAGATTTAACAGATTACGAAAAAAACTATACAAACAAATTTTTTTTTTTTTTTTAATGAATATACAATATAAATTTACTTATCTAACTTTTATAACTTCTGAAACCATACATTTTAAACATTTTATATTTTATATTTTTAAACATGCATATTTATTATATTCGTGTTAAAAGCACATTATTACGCATCTAAATCATTAATTTGAATTCTAAGATAAAATATATAATAAGACATCAATTAAATAAGTATATATTTTAATATATGTTCATTATAATATAATAATAATATAATATGATTGTTCCTATCTTCAATTAAAGAATGTTTTTGAAGTATGTTGATTCGTCGCTGTTTTTAAATGTTCACAAATACCTATATATTATATATATATATATGATATATGAGACGTCGAATTCGTAAAATATAAACTCTATAAAATCTCCATCTATAACCATCTCGATAAAAGTGCTAATGAAAATATTTCAGCGTAACAATGACAATAATAAGCATATAATATGTATATGTATTATAGTTATTTGTAAAAAAAATAACGTTAGATCATCGAATAATATATTGTCGAAATCACGGATTCAGCAAAAAAACCTAATACACGAAATTGGTTCAAGTATACATTATACGTTTAAGGATGTTTTATTTTTTATCTTGTTACCAATATTCTAATTAGATTTTTTATTTGTATTTAGTTTTAAATAATTACTTACATTTCAAAACTATCAGTGTTTCCTTTATGTTTTAAATATGGATTTTAATTGTATTGAAATATCTTTAATTAGAACATTTATTTTTATTTTATAAATATTTTATTATAATGATCTGAGTACTTGTAAAAATATTTAAATCCTTTAAAATATTTATTGGTAATTTTATACGTATTATTTCAGTAATATAGTTGTGATCATAGAACAATTCAAATGATCCTATAATAATCAAAAATGATAAAAAAAAAAAAATCGTTAATTGCTGTAAAATATAATAAAGTATTAATTTATTATTATTCAATAATAAAAATTTGTATTCAGTCATAGTATAGCCTTGTTTCAATTTTTAAGAGTATATTACATTTATTTACTTTTGGTTTGAATTGTTTAGAATGTACCTACATTGCATTGTTTTTCAACTAATCTAATAGTGCTTATAACTCATATAATTAGCTTTCAGATAATTTATTATTTCACAAATTTCATGGTTAAATGTCTAATTATTACATATATTTTGCTGGATATAATTGAATTTATGACTTTAATTATTTACAAAATATTAGTACTATATTTTCAGTATATAATATTTAATTCTCATTTTATAAAATGTTTATAATAGGTATACTCAACTTAAATAACTCTATACAGTTATAAATACATATAATAGTACTTTATATCTTACTGATTATAAAGGGTAGTTTATTATTATGTTAATGAAAAAATGATATCGTACACCAAAAAAAAGACTATAAATAATTGATTTCTACATTTTTACCACACAATTATCTATACATTAAATAATCACATAGCATAATGAAAGGCTCATTAAAAGTAATCTATCCAGTATCAGATGGATGTGATTTTTTGCACTATTATATTTTTATCTCCGTTATTAAAAAGTAAAAACTAATTTTATTTTATAACAATTTAAAATTGTGTGATAAATATATATATATAATATATAATATAGAAAAAGTGAAATCCGAATATTTCAAATGGCTTATAATGCTATTGATTAATAAATGACTTAGTTAAATAATTGCAAAGCGGTACAGCAAAAATTGTAAATTCTTAGCCATATTTTTAAACCTCCGGGTTCAAACAGAAATTTATATCATTATTTTTATATTTATTTAATTTGACTTTTTATTTAAATTCTAAAAATGTGTAAAGTTTAAAGTCTATAATCTGTATAACTCCATTTAAATACTTAAAATATAAATCAGATAGAACGATAGAGTTAATAATAGAATATTTGTCCAAAAGACGAGTGTTTAATAATAATATAATAACTGGTAAATGATTTAGGATTTTTTGAAAATTAATTTCTGATTGCTAAATTACGCATTAAAAATTTTACTAGAAATTAATCTTCGACTTTTATTTTGCATGGCTATAAATTGTAGTCTGAAATACCATTTATTAAAATGTGTAGAAATGTAGACGTTCCCAAAACTTATTTAGTGAATATAACATAATTATTGCACTTTCATATTTCCACTTGTTATCTTATCAAATATCAAACATTTATTCATCCTAATATTTACACATACAATATGATCTATAAACTTATACCAATAATTAAAATATTACAGTAATGCATATTTAAATAATACAAAATATGAAATATTTTTTTGTAGATACATAATTTATATTTAAAAAAGTATGTCTTTAAAATGCCTCTTAAACACCTGAAATACATTTTGAAATAATATAATATTAAATATGTAGGTAGATATTTTTAATTACCTAATTTAAATGTATATAATTTTTATTTATAATATATTAAATTTTATATTATTAGAACTCAAAAAATATTTTATTATTTTTATTTTCTGTATTAAATATTACTTATTAAGTATCATAATAGTTTTAAATAACTGACTATCTAAATAAATATATATACATTATATGTGTATTAGAATTTTAAAAAAAGTTTTAAAAATTATAAAACCAATTTTAAAAATGAGATTAAATTGAAATTGTATTTTATTTAAATTGTAGAAATGTGCAATAGCATAAACTTGTATTATTTCAAAGACTTCAAAGAAAAAAGGTTTTAAATTCGTTTGATATGTATTTCATATGATTTTTTTTAAGCTTGACTAGAATAAAAGTTCTACTACGACTATTTATTTTTTTTTATTTTCAATGAAAAAACTGTGTTGAAAAACTATAACGTTGATTCTTATTTTCTGTAGATATAAAAATATGTTTGAAACACAATTATATGATATAGGACATAGATAAAGTGTATTTTATACAATACCTAGTATCACATAATACATAGTATATCCATAATACACGTGTTAAAACTACACGGACACAAGGTTTCGACATCTTATGTCACTATATAAGGCAATAATACAGAATTTTTTTTTATTGTTTGATGGATAAAAAAAACGATGAATTTCAATTTAATATATTCACGTGTTTCTATATTTTTTTTCTGTATATTAACTAATTTTTTTGATGTTCCAGTTTGGGTATGTCAAAATTAATTTTTTTTCAAATAAATAGGTACCACCCACAAATAACCGATATTTATTTTGAGTAATTTAGTGGTTATTTCTTAGAATTTAGTTTACTATTTTAGTAACCACAAGTTTTCAAGGTTATGAAAATGAATTAATGTTCTTTGATTAAAATAACTGCAATAAATGATTACATGTTATTTAATCGAATAGGTAATTAAATACTTATAATATAAACGGGCTCTACGGTCTTAAACGAAATTGTGGTTTTACTTTATCATATTCAAATGTGTAAAATGTCGTGATATTGGTAGTATTTTTGTATTACACTTAATACTTATACTCAGTGGCGATCCTACGAAAAGGGGGAAGCGATGGATGGATCGCCCCCCATTTATTATATATTATATATTAGATTACAACAAAAACCTGATAATGTATCTATGTTTTACGTCATTTTAAGTATTTTATTATAAATCCTAAAAAGAACTTTTATTTTGTATTATTACATGAAATACATTTTTAAATTTACTAAATTATTTTTTTTTACGACTACTAATTTTAATGATTGCATTTTATGTGAAAAATATTTCGTCCCCTCCTCTCCTTGGAATTCGTTAAGGACCGCCACTGTTTTTACTACTATTATATTAAATATTATGTAAATTACGCTAAACGGTGTAAAATTCAAAATACCGATTAAAACAACTAATAACCCATGTGGACTTCTAACCGTGAACATGATATTTCTAAATAAATTGGTAGGCACACGCTAATCATAATACATGACGTAGGTATGGAAAAATATTACAGTATCCGAGTTTATATATTTTATCGATGTAATGAAATAATGAGCGAAGAAAGCGCAACGATGGTTGTTGGAAGGCTGCTGTGCGGTAGTCGCGTCGCAGACTCGATCGCCGAGATAAACTGCATCAACACACACGTTCCCCTGCCCACCAATCGGGTCGCGGCTGTAACAATATTATTTTGAATAGCGGCGACGGCCTTGGCCGGGCTACTTGAATATTATTATTTTAATTTTAATAACACGCATATATATATACGTATAAATATATATTATATATGGTCGGTGCCACTCGTGTCGACGCTATCATCAAACATTTTGCGTTACGCACGCACACGCACCGTACACATACGAAATAGGCATCGGCGGTCGAGCAATACTGCGCGGTGTATATAGTAATTTGTGTGCAAGCGCGTGTCCGTGTGTGTGCGCGAGAAAAATTAGATTATTTTTCATTAGGAAAAACGCGTCCAACACCGTGCCAAACACCGTTGCCACCACCACCACCGTCTCGGCGATGCCGTTGATATCATAGTCCAAGCGACGAGGCGGTGTTGCGCGTGCGCGATGACGACGGCATATTATCACACACGCACACATACGTACTGACTCACGCGCGCGCACACACACACACACGCGTCGACGATATCAAGTATTAATTCTGCATGAAAAAATATAATTTTGTAAGAAAATCGTAGAAAGATAAGGAAAAATAAAAAAAATTAAAACGGCCGATGGTAGCGTGGACCACCAGGTAACTGATACGATTCGCCTTAATTTTTTTACGTGCTTCTCGAACGGAACGTTGGCAGTTGTTATACATATAAAAAAAAAAAAAAAAAAAAAAACGTAACGCATTTTTTTTCTCGCTCTTGTTATCAACCGCGTCGTCCGCGGAGTCGTTCGTCCAGTCGACCATTACACTCGCACGTTTGCCGAGTGCGTATCGAAGAACGTGATGTACGTTATTCTTACGAGCACCGAACACACGACACTACCTATCTCTGCCATCATTAGCGCCTGCTACTGCATCAGAACGTCGCAGCCGTCGGTCGCCACTACCAAAGCTGCGAACGTCCGCTGTCCAGGGCCGGTAACGCTTATTTCAGACCGGTAACGACCGACCGGACGGCATGCACCGTGCAAATGTCGTCATCGGAGGTGGCAGTGGCGGCCGTCGTTCTACCGTTGTTGTCGAAGAATCGGACGCGACGGCGACGACGACATTTGTAGGAGTGGATGGACGCGAAGACGACTTCACCGTAGACGACGGAATTGATGAGGCGTCAACCACGACCATGATTAACGTCAAAAAGGAATGTACCAACATGGAAGAAGACGAGGACACCAAGCATCAATTACAACATATTCAGCAACAGCACGATACGAATGAAATCGAAGATGTTAGTAACTGTTTATCTATCTAGTATTAACCGGCTTGTAATTTATTTTATGACCGCTATTTTTTTATTCCTATACTTTATTTCATGACCTCGTCTTTGGTACATACTATTATTAGCAGCGATGGAGTTTTAATATAACTGAACAGTGGCGCCCTAGACGTATTTTTCAGGTATAGCCACCCATCTACCCTTCGAAAATCTCAAAATTTAAATAATTTTTTTTGTTTCATTATTTGTTAATATTATAGGTATTATACAAATAATTGCACAAAAATAATAAGAAACATGAATAACACAATATTATCATTGCAATAATAATAATAATTAATATATCTTAAGTTTATTATTTTAACTTTTATGTTATAGTACTCACTCGCCCCTTATTTCATACCTACTACACCTTACTACACCTACTTGTCACCAAGTTGTAGGGTTGGGTGCTACTGTAATTGAGCCGTATTTAATTTTTTTGTAAATAAAATATAAAATTTAAATTTTACAGTAATACATCATTACTTTATTAAAAGTGAAAGTTACAACTTACTTTCTTTAAAATTAACACTAGGTGAAATATCAGGTAATTGAAGAGTTTAGTTAGTTAGACCCTGATAAGGCTGACGACTAGCTGAGTTAATCAGTAGCGGATCCAGGGGAGGTTTGGGGGGTTAACCCACTCTAAATCAGGAAAAATATTTTCAACCCCCCCCCCCCCCCAAAGGAAAATCCTGGATCCGCCACTGGAGTTAATTTAAACTCGGAGAAACTTTCAAAATTAGTATTTATAACTAATAGTATTATCGAATATTGATTGAAAACTATCAGATTATTCGTAATTATTTTATTGGACTGATTTAAGTCCGGTTGTCTGAATTTACCTTATCCGGCAGGCCGGATAAATTCAGCATTAATAGTAAAATGCTTACTTATCGTTGAAATTCGTTCTTTTGGTTTATACACAGATGTATCGTCGTCATCGGCGACCTAAGCACCAACAACAGCTCCAGCTGCATCACCATCAACAATTTGATAGTATTACGTCATCGTCAGCATCATCGAATAACAACCGCCAGGAACGTCTAATGTTGGTATCCGTAGATTCTGGAGGTGTCGGAAATGTTAGACACCGAACATCAGCTTCATCAGTTACTCAGTTTTGTTGTTCAAGCACCACTGCAGCGAGTCTTCAACAGCAACAGGTAACAATCCATGTAATATCCGTTTATAAATTTGTATTTATAGGAGTCTTATGTATAACATATGCACATTAAATTGTACCTTCTCAAAATTATTGTGTTAAAAAGTATAATAAATTTACTTGTGGTTCATGAAATGTATCATATTTTACTAAAGACCTTTATTATTAACACTATTATTTATATATCATATCCTCGCTGATAAATATTTACATGCGCATTAAATGTGACATTTAAATAATACTCGAGGGAGTTTTTGAATAATTCATGGTCGTATATCGTTATTTCATTTTACTGTCGTTTGGTAATAGAAGTGGATCACTGTCGACAATGCTAATGTGTATAATATATTACAATGATTCTATTATTATTGTTATTTTGTATTATAATATGGTAGATGTTAGTTATGTAATAGCGTTTTACCAAGTTTTGACCGGAATAAATCAGTGACCATCGTCATTTGGGATATACATTGACATAGCTAAACACGTGTCTCGTATATTGCGTATAAAATCAACTATTAATATTATCCGATTGAATGATATCAAGTACAATATCAATAATAATATTGTTATTTTTTATTAATTATTATATATATAATTATTACGCATACTAGAACATTTTTTATTATTTATATTTATTATTTCTGTGGCGTTTTATGTAGCTACATCATCGTAACAACTTGCAGCAACAACAAATTCCACCTTCATCTACTGTCGTTATGATCAAAGAAGAAGACGTTTCTATGGTTGGTGGTGGTGATGGTATGCATCACCACCAACATCATCATCAACAGAACCACCATCATCAGCAGCAACAACAACACAATATGTCAGCTGCAACGGCAGTAACAATTGTTAACAACAATAACAATAGTAATGCCACTTCATCGTCACCGCCACCACCAAGACGTCTGTGCTTGGTATGCGGTGACGTTGCCTCAGGTTTCCACTATGGTGTAGCATCCTGTGAGGCGTGTAAGGCGTTTTTCAAACGTACCATACAGGGTTTGTAAAAGTTTACATTCTATTTTATCGCTAGTCATATCAGTAGTATGTAACTGTAATAACAGTGCAGTAACTCTCTAGAGTAATATCTCTCAAAAACCCTCGTATCTCTTATTTTTTATTTTTGTATTCAACCTTATGGTTAGTTTTGCTGTAGGATAAGCGCTCTTCACTTCAGCCCTATTTTCAGCTAACTTCTTTAGTTCAGTGTAGCTTGATAGTCTTGCATCGGAAATAATTTTTAGGCAAATAAGTTTTTGAACGTTCTCGGTTTCCTTCAATTTTCCCTTCTATTTTTCTATAAATTAGATCATTTTTGTGTTTTAAAATGTGACCAATCATGTTCCATTGTCATGCTTTGGTGGTTTTGAGTATAAAATATTTAAAAAGCTCGTCCTGTTCTATACTATTCAATTTTGAATAAGTTCCATAGCTATGTTGTCTATATCGACTGCTTTTCATGTTTTTATAAATTTTAAATTTTTGTTGAATTCATTTTTTAATATTATTTCTCCTTGCATATCGGAATTATTATTAACATTGAGACCGGCTGCTTTTCTTCCTGATAAAGAGTTTCAAGATATTGTTTCCATCTACCTACATCTCTTATTTTACTATTTAACTTAACTTTCTTATAACAAGACATAATACATCACCACCAAATTCTAGTAACAATCATTATTTTTATTATTGTTATTGCTATTTGCATATATCACTTGTTATAAGCGTCCCTGAGATGTATGTGTGTGATAATTTCGGTAGCCAATAATACTCAATTACATATATTTTTTCGTTGTATAATTTTATAATTTTTTTTTTTTTTTTGTGTTTGAAGGTAACATTGAATATACATGTCCCGCTAGTGGAGACTGTGAGATTAATAAGCGACGGCGTAAAGCTTGTCAAGCATGCCGGATGCAAAAATGTCTGCGAACTGGTATGCTTAAAGAAGGCGTGCGCCTTGATCGGGTACGTGGCGGTCGTCAAAAGTATCGTAGACAGCCGCCAACTCCTGTAGCTGCTCCGGCGATCTCTGTTCAAACTACACCACAATCTGCACAACAGCAATCGGTTACGGCGACCACAGTCAATAATTCTATTCACCACCATCACCATCACCACACGCACAGCAGCAATGGCGCATCGTTGATACATCATCATCATCATCAGCAACCATCTTTTAACAATGCTTTCAACAATAAAATGATTGCGCCTGGAAATCACCATCACCACCATCATTCATATCACCATCCGCAAATGTCCTCGGTATCTCACCAGATGTGTTTAAACGGGAACAGTGGTTCAATGATCGCGACTTCAACACAAAACAATCCACACTATTATAATTTTTCGCACAACAATAACGGAGGATGTACTGGTAACTGGAACAACAACAACGATGATGGAATTTGTACTAAACAAGAATATCAGCAATGCTGCTGTAATAATACTACATTAACAATTGATACAGTCAAGGAATGTGGTAAGTTGTAAAATCGCTTCAGTTTAAGTTATACGCAACCAATCGTTTTTGTATTTAAATTTATTACGATAACTATACTGAACTCGCATTAAAAAAGTATAAAATTTTGTAACGTGTATATTTTGTTATTTCTCTTCTTTTAGAAAAAATGTTAGAGGCTCTTAGGCAATGTGAACCTGAGATGCCAACTTTATTAGGCGGTGGAGATGGATCAACTAATGCCGCCGTTACAATGGATTTTTTTACTCAGTCCACAACATTAAGTGTACAACAAGCTGCGAGAACTGCGGCCCCATTATCAGGAAGTGGTAGTGGTTTAGTTGAAGAGGGTATATCTTCAACATCCTCTCCGTCGTCGGCTTCAGCTGTTTCATCGCCATCGGCGGCTGCTACTATGGTAGTGCATACACTTGCTGAACTATACGACAGGGAGTTGGTTAGCACAATTGGTTGGGCAAAACAAATACCCGGTGAGTACTATTTAGTTAATTAATTTGTACTAATTTATACATACCTGAATATTATTTTATCGCTATTTCATGTATAACTATAAGAAATAAAAATAAAACCAGTCGTTCATTTTTGTCATCTAATTATATTTCACCGTTAATTTATTATATAAAACAGGCTGCCATATATAACAACTTGCCGTACTTTCTCGTTCGTTTTCGAGGTAAGCCACTACGTGTACCCTTAATTGATAAAAATAAAAATAAAAAAATCCCGATGGTTCGTGTAACACGATTGATCAATTTAGTTACATAGCATTTTGGTGTATACATTTTCAATGTCAATAAATTGTATTTATGATTTATAGGATTTGTAGATCTATCACTGAATGATCAGATGCGACTATTGCAATCGACTTGGGCAGAACTTTTGACATTAACCACGGCATTTCGTTCTTTGGAACAGTTTAATGATCAAACTGATGTAGGCAGTGGTGATATTGATAGTGCTGGTGGTTCGAGTGAAGAAAACAGTAGCGGTGGTTTAAAGTTACGTTATGCTACAGACTATTGGTTAGATGAAAAGTTAGCTAGAGAATGTGGTGCAGCAACTATTGGTGTACCATTGTCATCTAATGGCAGCGGTGGTTCTACGACTTCTATAAGTAGTGCGACCAGTGGTACAACGACAGTGACATCACCCACCGTACTAGACATTTTCAACATGGTTAGTATATATGATTTTAATTCTTTATGAATAATATCATAAATTATCATATTTAAAATTTCTTATAAAACAAATATACTATACAGTGTGCAATTAATATTTTATATATTTTTCAAATTGTTTATTACAATTATCATTTTTAAGACGCATTTCTCCTTTTTCAAATGTAAAATATAACTTAACATTTAAATTATTTGAAAAAATATTAAGAAATAAATATTTAATTGATTTCAGTCTGTTCATATTGTCCGGCAATTTAAAGCTGTAAATGGTGGTAGTGGCTTGACTCCGGATCAATACTACCTACTTAAGGCGTTGGTTTTAGCTAATTCAGATGACCTAACGTTAGCATCGTCATCAGCGGCAACGTCGCTCACCGGGAAGCAAAACGAAGCTAATAAGCCGTTATCAAAGAGCAATATTAAAATTCAACAGCAGCAGTCAGCCGTTAAGCAATTTCGTGCCACCATTACCCGTGCTCTTCATACCCATTTAGAAATGACAGCGAATACTGCTATGACATCGTGCTGCTGTTGTAATGGCGTTGATTGTTGCTGTCCTACAGCAGCGATGAGTATGGCGTGTTGTGATAATAGTAGAGTTACCGGTGTAGATGGTAGTGGAATGGCTGCCAATTGCTGTTGCTGTAGTAATAATACTGTTACCGGTCAGCTTGACAAGGACGGCAACGTCATTGTCGTCGTTGATGGTAACCAACGCCATCAACAACCCTGTCAACAACAACAGCTTATGGATACCTCGAATAGCACTGGCGGTGGTAGTAGTGCAATTATATCCACTACAGCGGCTCCTACGGCTACAGTCGTCGGGTTAGTATATTTATTCAATGTCTACGTTTTTATACTCGCACTGTTTTTTTCTGCATAATACTAGTTATTTTTCTACTATATGAAAAAAAAAATTATATATTCAGGTTTTACTCGACTGTAGAGAACACAGTTTTAACCCAAAATATTTTCCTTCAACAGTTTTTCTAACAACAATGTTATGATGGACGAAGACGATTGTTGCGGCGGCAGTAATTTACTTGATAACCAACAACACCAACACCATCACCACTACAGTTCACAGTTGACTGAGTCCACCGATTCCGCTTCGTCAAAACTCGTACAACTGCTGCTGTGTTTACCGGCATTGCGGCAGGCCGATCAACTCATTCGGCAGTATTGGACCCGTGTACACCGTGAAAATCAGCATCAAATGACTTCAGCCTCACAGATTCAAACACAACAGAGCGCGGCAGCCACTGGTACCGGAACAGCTTTTGCCAGACAGTCCGCAGCTGCTGATCGTTCGATGTCAACTGGAAATGGTGGGAGTGGTACAGCTGTTGTCAAAATGAATAAGTTGTTCGTCGAAATGTTGGAGGCCTGCCTGCGATGATTAAATCAGGCGGGCGTCACTCGTGTACTTCTACTGTATCGCGAGTGACATTACAGCATAATAATGGCAGTGGTAGATATCACAGACTTCTAACTATATAAGATAAAGAAATTCATGTGATCAATTAGGACTTCCTGACACCAATTTTTTTTTTTTTTTTTTGTTGCTAAATAGACAACTAACTTAAAAATAAGTTTTTAATATTGTATAATACATAATAATAATATGTTATTTATATTGATATGCGTGCGGAATTTTACAATCAAAAACATGAGCATCAACAATTTTTTTGCTAAACATTCCGGGCTATTTATCTAGTATATAGTATGGAAGTCTGTGTGTAGCGTATAGTAGTGTTACAATAGTTAGTAGTATTTTGTTTTCCTTTTGTTATCAATAATGATGGCAGTGACAACATTAAAATTTGTGCACCTAAATATTTTTCCACTAAACTTTTAAGTTGTCATTGCCGCATTTATCTTTATTTTTCGTTAGATATTCGTGATACATACGTGACGTATATTTTTTTATTATTGACCAAAATATCCTTCTAATAAATATATCCCAGTTATTGTTTTATGTTAAAATTGTATACGAACATCATTGTTGTTGAACGTTTATATATTAAAATATAATAAATAAATTATAATTATTTTACTATAGACAGATATATATATTTAAAAATATGTACATTCATATTAAATACATTAAAATAAATATGTATGTACATCTTTAGTTTTATAATAATTGTATTTAATTGCCAATCGTTGTTGAGTTTGTTATAGATTTTTCTCTTTTATCATTTGTTAAATATTTATAATATAATTAAATATACGTATACATGAAATCTCTTTTAGTAAATGTTTTTTGTTTCATAAACAATATATATTTTAGTTTTGGTCACTAGTGGTTGATATATGTAACATAACTATATCATTGAATTACTGAAAATCCATTCAAAAAATTGTATAAATTATGATAATCTATACTTAAAATAGATGCTTTGAGAATCATTAAAAATTTAAATGATTTATATTTTTATATCTACCATATTAATGAGATACATTGGTTTTTAGCACAATTTTTAACTTTTGAAAAAAAAAAAAAGAATATATTTTAGTACTTAATATTTATAATTGTTTACTAAATATCTCAGATCAGTAATTTTTCCAAATGAAATAACGATTTATTTTAACATTTTTCTCTCAAAATGGTCGCAATAATATTGTAAAAATTTAGTTGAATATAAAATATTGTTTATTTTTAAATTTTTTTATATTAGTCTAGTTTATATCAATTTTAGATTTATATAAATTACATTTTACAATTGCTAGTTTTAATTCATAAAAAATAAGTAATAAAAACCACAAACTAAAAGAGTACCTTTGTTGTTTATAAAAACCTAATGATATATAAAAAATATAATGGTGTAGAAAATCGAGCCGAGTGGAGGTTTTGGTCAAAAATGGCCAACCCCAAATAATTGGAAGAAGAAAAAGATTGATAATCGATTAAGTTTTATGGCTAGTTAAAAAATTTATCTCAACTGTCTAATAGTTATTTTAAATAAATTTTCTATGAACTCACTCTAACTCTACTCGTTAATATAATTAAGTTATAATATATTTAATATCTGAACATTAGAATATTTGTTTATTAGTGTATAATGAAATAATAGAAATTACATTTAATTTGAAAATCATAAATAGATAATAGGATAAGTTTTGTTCAAACAACTATCAAATCCAATATATTACAATAAGTAAATAATAACTAACCTAACTATATTAGTACATTTTAAAATAATAATCTTAGTTCTCACAGTAAAAATTATTCAAAACTTATGTTTAAATTTACAAGTAGTAAATAAGTGTATTTACGATGAATTAGTTGATTTTGTAATTTATTATTCAGTGAAATACTATTAAAACGATTACCATTAAAATGTTGACTAGTCAAAAGAATGAGTAAGCAGTAATATTACAGATGAATCCACCAGTCTTGAATCTTTTGACAATTTAATTTAAGATTTTGTCATTTAATTATCTAAAATATTATTTTAAACATTTTATTCATTAACAGTTGTTTGTTTATAATTTATACTCCAGTGATGGTTGGATTAATAGTTCAAAGAAAAAATTATAATACAGATACCTGTATAAATTTACATTAGATCTATCTTTACTTACAAATATAAGTTCCAAATCTAAAATATTGTATATTAGCACATGTATGTGATTATTTTTATAATAGAATATTGAGTAACATAAGATAAAGGCATACATTTATATTATACAAGAGATTTATTATGGTTCACAAGTCAAAAACATCATACACATACATTTGGTTGAAATAATAATTTTGGTCGTAATTGTATATATATTATATTTTACGAATTATTATATTTTATCGTCATATTTCTATTACGTTATAAAAACCCTTAAATGCGAATCAATAATTTTTGTTATACATATTTTTATCGTGATTTACATATAATATATACAATAATATTGATCATAAAAATAATTAAATCTAAATACGGACGAAAAAATCTTAACTGTAGAAAATGCTTTTGTTTTTAACCATTTTTTATAATATGTACACACACAATATATTATTGTTGTATAGACATAATAGTGTAATAATAATCATAATAATAATAATAATAATAATAATAATAATAATGTAATAATAATGAATAATCAATATTGATAAAATAGTAATAATAATATTAAGTAATAATAGTAGTAGGTAAAATTATCCGCATCTATAAATATTCTAAAAATATATCGCGATCAATTGTAATAATAATTGTTGTTGTATTTACAATTCTAATTTAAAAAATGTAAACAATTGATCAATAAGTCGCTGATTTTTTGCGTATACATTTAAAGCGATGTGAATTTTTTAAAATTATAAAATTGTTTTTAACGTGTAAATGTTTGGTTTATACATCGTTAGGTGACTTGACAATTTTACTTAGATGCGTATATGTGTATTGCTTATTGGTTAGCGCTATAATCGCATATATAATACAAATAATATATTAACAGAGGCAATTAAAATTACAATCCCAAATGCTGCTGCTGCTGTTGTTGAGCAGATGCAGGTGACTTTTTATCTCCTCCACCTGACATAGAGTCACCAACACTATTTGGGTTACCTCCGCCATTACTTCCAGGATTTCCATTACCACCTCCTACAGATGATCCGCCACCAGCTCCTGGGTTACTTCCTGGATTTTGTTGCTGTGGACCACCACCACCATTTGGTCCTGTTGGGCCACCATTTGGTGGTCCACCACCGCTGCCACCACTACTAGGTGGTCCAGTTGCCCAAGAATTTTGTTGTTGTTGAAGACCATTTGGATTATTTGATGATGAGGATTGTGAAACACCTCCTCCGCCACCAGTAGGTGTCCCAGGAGCACTACCATCAGCACCAGATCCTGGAGGAGGAAATAGTGGATCACCCATCATCCCACCGGGTCCCATTGGTCCACCAGGACCACCACTCATTGGTCCTCCTGGGCCCATTGGTCCACCGCTGCCTCCAACTTGTCCCATTCCTCCAGGTCCACCGCCACTGCCTGGTCCCATACCACCAGGACCACCACCAATGTGTTGTAGATCATTACCTCCTGCTGAACCTACAGATCCCGGACCACCAGGGCCCACACCCATCACAGACACAGCAGCTGAGTTTGCTGCTGCAGCTGCAGCGGCAGCAGCTGCGGCTGCTGCAGCAGCTGCCGCGGCTGCGTCATATTGAGTATTTTCTAACCGCGTAATCAAACGCTCGTCTTCATCTCCAAATTCACCACCCATCAATGAAGGCTCTCCAACAACCATTACATCCTGCTTATCCCATTAACAAACAAATACAAAACATATTACATTCTATAATAATAATATATCTTCATATTCATATCATTATTTTGAGAGTCACATAAATATGTGCATCATACCTGCGATGCTAAGTTGAATCCTGCGCCACCAGCTCCGCCACCACCACCACCATTTGGTCCTGGGCTCCGTTTCTTTGAAGCAGCTGTTGGCCCACTACCTGGTCCACCACCAGGTCCTCCACCACCAGGAGTGGCTGGAGGGCCTCCACCAGCGCCTGAATTACTGCCCTTTCGCTTGCGTCGTTTGTTGGCTGGTCTTTGCGATTCTGTGTATATATAAATAATAATAATAAATAAATGAAAAAAAAAATAACAGTGTAGTCAACAAAAATACTTTGAAGAATTATATTTGGTGAAACAGTTAAATAATGATACATAAATATTACAAATAAATAATGTTGACATATTATTTTGCAAGTTACTAAGTGCTTAATATGTGTTTTTAAAACATAATTTTAAATGCATAGTTCTACTTATAACATATTTACACATGAATAACTAAGAATTTAGAAGATATACTAATTGGTTTTAAAATAAGTATAATTTGATTTAACATACAGTATACTTCAGACATGAATTAAAAATAAAATAAATATTAGAATACCTGGTGGTGCAACCATACGTTGCCATTTTTGAAATAAAGTTGTCTTCAGACAGTCTCTAGGACTGAGTGCATACGCTTTGTGTCTGGACATCAGTTCTTGCATAGGTTCTAGTATGACGCAGAGCTATTTGAAAATATCAGACATTAAAAATTATTATAATAAATAATAAAAGTAATGAATTTTTTTCTTTATACATCCATACACTTTTTAAATAACAAAAAAAATTATTCATAAAAAATGAAACTTAAAATCATGACTTTTATAGAAAAATAAAAAAATTAATCTTTTACATATCTTACAAGAATAAGATTTGGATTCAAGTTCTAAATTGATCATAATTATAATATCACAAATATTAATAGATGTTTAAAAAAATTAAAAATAAGGGTTTATATTGTTAATATTGTTATATTAGTTGTTTGTAAGCCACTCTAATTAGACAATTTTAGAAATTGAAAAACTTACTCTAAGATAGTTGAGCGTCGAGTTAGTAATGCCCTGTCTAGTAATATTTTTGGCCACCTGTTGGTGGACAATTTCAGGACTGGGTGGTGGTGGTCCACCAGGAGGTCCACCATCACCACCACCAGGTCCTCCTTGTTGTTGCATCATTACTACTGCAGCAACAGCAGCAGCAGCAGCTGTTCTTGGAACCAGTTCCCTATGTTGCCTTATTGCTAAATGCCAGGTCCGTATTCTCATCATATCATCGTATGTAAATTCCAATGTCAATCGTCCTTCAGTACATATCCTAGTATACACAGGTGGTGATTGAGGCCCACCCCCACCACCCATTGGTCCACCACTTCCAAGCACTATATTAAAATAAACATTTACAATTATACATATGAAAAAAATCATGATAAAATGTTTTACATTTAATATTCAACAACTTAATTGAAATATTTTTTATATTAAAATAAAATTTATAAAAGTAGCCATTTTTGGAATTTGTACAATGACTATAATATAGAGAAATAAGTTTGAATTTAAAAATGGCATATGATGAAAGTACAAAGAAATTTTGAGGTGACATTATATAGCTAGGAGAAAATAAGAATAATGAAAATAGAAATTTATATTTTTTATACAGACCATATTACATAATACAGGTAGATAATATATTATTTCAAAGTAAATTTATTAGAAAATAACTGTGATAAAAAACTTAATGATACTACAAAAATAACATTTTAACCTTGGTCTAAACATATAAGTATTATCATTAACAGTATAAGAACCAGGAAATTACATATACGTATATTATACAATTATTTTAAGTAGTAAACTAATATTTTTATTTACCGATTAAAAATGATTATTACATATTAAGTTATTAATTATTGCCATACTAAAATAAGGGATAATTATAGAGTTAGCTGCACATACCCGATTGCTGTGACGATGGTGGACCTTGAGCTACCAGAGATTTTTGCATACTGATACCACCATTCAATGAAGTGGGCGGGCCACCGCCAACACTACCAGGTCCACCAGGTCCTGGTGACTGAGCAATAGAAGATGGTGATGCACCACCTGGACTTGATGTCAAATGTGTAGTAACCATGGTACAATGGTCACAGTCCAGAGTGAGGCTGGTATTATGAAAAGACTCTTTAGTAGCATTTGCCCTCAAATGATAATATAAATCAGTGACACCACCTTCAAATATTGATCTGAAGTATCTAGGAATCAGGTTTCGGCCGATGGCTATTTATATTATGAATTTAAAAGAAAATTAAATAAAATTATTATTTAGTGATGTAAAAATCATATTAACTAATACTTACTGTAACGCTTAGGTCCATCTTCTAGGCAAAATGTCAATGTTAATGTGGCATCGTCTTCAAAGAACTCTGTTCCGAACTGGTCCCACCAAACATTGTCACTATCCTGTTCATCAAATTAATTTATATTTTAATATATAATTTAAATTACTAATAATATAAATTACTAATAAAATAAAATTTAAATTAATAATTTAAAAAAAACCACAAAAATAGATTTAAATAACATTTTTATAATTTAATACATTACCTCATTACGATTCTGCAACCTCTTATTTAATTCAAATATCCTGTAATCGGGCTGCACATGGTGGGCATGTGGTGGATGTGGATGTGGTGGTGGAGGTCCATGTGGTCCACCATGGTGCGGTGGTCCATGAGGATGATGCGGGGGGCCATGTGGAGGACCTCCTGCACCTCCATGAGGATGAAGTGGTACACCACTACCATGGTGTGAAGGTCCACCACCACCATGAGGATGAGGTGGTCCACCATGAGGACCGCTTCCTGGTGGTCCACCATGATGTGGAGGACCACCATGAAGTCCTGGGGGGCCTCCTCCTCCGTGATGAGGGGGACCACCAGGAGGCCCTCCATGATGTCCAGAAGGACCACTATGATGCACGCCACCTCCTAAATGTCCTGGAGGTCCACCATGAGGTCCACTTAATACACTACCACCATGGTGTCCAGGAGGACCTCCTCCATGATGCCCAGGTGGTCCTCCTCCATATCCTCCAGGTCCACCATATCCTCGACGTCCTCCCCCACCACCTGGACCACCAGGTCCTCCAACCATTGATGATGGAAAACATCTAAGAAAAATATTATCAAGTTATCACTTCAAATAATATAAACGAACTCTAATTTCTATAAAATTACAATAAATTATACTCACGATGGGTGATCAACCATCATTCGGCCGCCTGGACCCGTGTCTGCAGCATTCATCATTCCACCACCAGCTCCACCACCACCTCCATGATGATTCATCATTTGTTGTTGCTGGCTAAATGGCGAGCCTGGTGGCATAGGACCACCTCCACTCCCACCATAAAATTGTTGTCCGCCAAATGGTGATTGTTGTGGAGGTGGAGGTCCAGAACCAGGACGATTACTACCAGGGCCTCCACTACCAAATCCTCCTCCACCCCCTCCAGAACTCACTGAAGAAGGCGATCCAAACGGCATCTGTGCTCCTCCTCCACCATTAAATGGTCCACCACCGCCTCCATGTTGACTATTTGGAGTGCCAGGTCCACCACCATAAGGTACAGGTGTGGAAGAACCTCCACCTCCAGGGGTCGATGGGCTGTAGTGTTGTTGTTGTTGGTGTTGTGGAGTGCTATTGCCACCACCACCACCGCCATAAGGGCCACCTCCAGGAGCAGGAGATCCTTGTTGCTGATGAAATAATGATGGAGACTGATGACCTTGTTGCTGATGATGTTGCTGATATGGACCACCACTACCAGGTCCTCCTGGGCCACCACCATATCCCATACCAAATGGATCTCCTGGACCACCACCTGGTCCACCAGGACCACCGCCAGTCTTCCAAGAAGAAGCTGCTGCTGCTGCTGCTGCAGCTGCTGCAGCTGCAGCGGCTGCTGCAGAACCTCCTGGTCCTCCAGGCCCTCCACCACCACCTAAACCATCATCAACAAGAGTAGCAGCCAATGCCACTGCTGAACCACCTCCACCTACAGCATTACCAGCTCCAGCGGCACTTCCACCTCCGGCGCCTCCACCACGTCTACTGCAACCAGCTACAAAAAAAATTTATAATTATATAATTAATTATTCAAGAATAATATTTTTTTATTTATGTCAATAATATAAATTGCTACAACACCTTAAAATTACCAATTATTAAAATTTAATTTGAATTTTTAACTATAATTAAGACCTCTTAGAAAAACATACATCAATTATTTAATAATATCTTAAAAATTAACAAATTTAATCATAGTACTAAGTATAGTACTATCATAGATTTCCTGCTAGAGTTATACTAATAAGAAAAAAATAAATTACTATTTTTACTCACATGTTTAATTAAGGTATGTGCACCATATAAAAATGTTTAGGCAACCTACTATAAATTATTATAAATTATTTTCGTGGTGAACAAAAACAAAATTCTACAAATAATAAAACACAATATAAATATATACTTTGTATCAGATCTTTGACCTTTATTAGCTTACAACATTTTGGTGATAATAATATTTTGTGTCAATTTTAAAATTTGATTACTAGGAAAAGAATAAAATTGAATGAAAAAAAAAATTTGATGAAATACTTGTCAATAAACTATTTAATTTTCTTTTAATTATTACAAGCAAATTTTAAAGCTTACCGGTTTTTTTTCACAACTTTAAATCAATGAATAAACATTTTTTTGATATAAGAATCAAGTAAAACTATTTATCATACAAAATATGTAAGCTTTTAATATTTTAGTTAAAATAAATTAAAACTATAATTTATCATATTAACATTTCTTAATTAATTATGTTATTTTTTCAATATATAACTGAATATAACTCTAATTTTTAAATTACAAAAAATACATAAATAACCACATTAATAAGTTTTATTAAAATATTAGATGATTGCCTAATTTCTAAAGGATGATATAAAAATATTGATAATACGTACTTTGTTCTAAATGTCAATTTATTTTATTTTTGAAACTTGTATAAATGTACCAATATATATACATTATCTACATATATATATAAATGTATATAAAATTATACATCTCAGACATATGTACATGAGCCAAATTATCATGTACTTATAAATGTATAATATAAAATAATCTAAAATTAATACTTTCTTAGATAGTATTACAAAAATGCATCAATCACCACTAGTATACGTTTAACTAACATACACTTAAAATTAATGTACAGACTTCAAAAAAAAAATATTAATAAAATTACTTATACTTACATTTTTTACTACGTTGCCCACCACGTCCCTGTCTCATATTAGTCTTTTTTCAGTAAATTATGTATTTTATTTATGTTAGTCCTTGCAAAATGAAATCTCCGCTATGAGCCAATTGTGTACAGTTTGATGCCGATGTTTTAGATTTCAGTACCAATGCTTGGGACGATAGTCACCACGGCTACCACTCGTATCTGGCACTATCATTGTATTGACTAGAGTAATTGACTCTGATGACATGATTCACTGTTGGCGAAGGATAACACTCGTAGTATCACGCACAAACGCGTACAATTATAATGTTTAATACGCTATATAAAAATATGTATTGTTCTATTAGGAGACGAGATCATCAACACGTTCGAATGCAATCGGTCAATAATAGCTGTATATCAACCGCGCGGGTTGCAAAAAATCAACGCGATACGAGCAACGGTGCCGCGCACACACCGGACAATCGCGTCTTGACGTACTCACGCGCCGCAAGTAATCGCCAACCACCGCACGCGCTATCGGCGACCAAACGCGCGCGCGTAGCGACACAACGGAACGGCGGTACACGACGGGGCGCGTACCACGATACGAATCTCGTGACCGTTGCTGACCGGTTGCGTACCGCGAACGAACGAGAACGGCAGCGGCGGCTTGTGCGGACGGCCGAACAGGGACCGCGACGGAAAAAAAACTAATCGGATCACTTGTTACGGTGAGTGGTCGTCGTAACACCGCGACGTGTTAATTGCACGCTGCTGGCACTGTTGCTTACTCGGACACTCGGACACGGGCGCGAACGCGGATGGACACGGTTGTGTACACGAACGAGTGGTGGTCGGTTGGTGGTTTGCCGCCGCCGCGTATGTACAGATAGACGCCGTCCGACGCTGCCGCTGCTACCTTGTCATCACCGCCGTAGCCGTCGGCCGCCGAGAGATATCGATAATAATGTGCGCGCGCGCGAACGTGTGTACGTGCGTGCGTTCGTGCGTGCGTGCGTGTATGTAAACGAGCAATCGGAGGGCGGTCGGCTAGCCGTCGCTGCGGCGTCGGTGTGCGGGACCGTTGGTGAGCGGTGGAGTGGCTGCGCAGGGCAATCGAGCGACGGCGTCGTCGAACCGGCACGCTACGGTGCGCATCGGAGCGCAACGGAACGGTTCACGTTCCGACCTCCGATTGCCTCCATACCGAGAACATCGCGACCGTCGGCCGTCTCTCCGTTTAGCCGCTAGACAACTCGCCGTTGTCCGAGTTTTACTATTATGATACCAATCGACGCCGTTTAATCGTGACACCTGTACCAGGAGGGTTCAGGAGATCAGCTAAGTGGCGCCGAACCCCATATTCAGGTCGAGCAGATGCCCCATCTCATAATATTTCAGTGGTGGGCCAGCTGATCTAGTCTCCAGTGGTCGGGTTAACCAGTCATTGTTTACCGTGAATTGTAAACGAACACGGTTGGTAATCAACTCGATGGTACACACTTCCCGGGAGATTCATCCACATATCTTACTTATCTAAATATTACTGTTCGTGTAATTAAAATGCTATTACTAGGCTCTAAATGTCCTACCTGAATTGTTTGGTTTCAGCGCCACTGGGTCAGCTGACCACAGTTAATATTTATTGACAAAATTGGCCTCTTGAAGACTTCTTATATTTTTTTAAGTGTGTCGACTATAGGTTGAAGTTAACACTAAACTGGATTAATTGCCCCAATTACCACTTTTCAAATGATGCCACTGGTTTAATTGTATAGTATAGTAAAACATCTCTATGCATGACACATACATATATGTAAGACGGAATCCTTCAAAAAATAAAATAAAGGTTAATGTTTTTAATAGTAATTATTTGTAAAATCAAAAGCACATATTATATGATCATATTGTTTTCTGTTACAAACAGTGGTATTCCCATAGGACAGTGGTTCCCAACCGGTGTACCGCGAGTGTCCTTTAAATGTGCCGCCATAAATCTATAAATTGTTTTATATGTATTAATCAGCTTATTATTGATGATATTCAAGATGAAAACTGATCGAACTAATTATAGATACATATAATATTATTTATTGTAAGTATTCCCGTCGCAGCTGTTTCGATCGATCGATTGTATTAATATAATTCATAATAAATAACTCTCTAATAAAGTAGACTGTAAATAGTATATATATAAAATATGGTTCATATATATATATATATATATATATGAATTGATGTTCGAAAAATTTTAATTTTCGAAACTAATCGAAAATTTTGTTGGAGATGAAGTGTGTCGCATTGTTAAAAAGGTTAAAAACCACTGCCATAGGGTATACTACATATAGTCTCAAGTCTTCATCACTTCGGGGAGAAGTATTAAATATAATTAATTTTACAGGTTTTCATTTTGGCCTTATTTTGTAATAGACATTGAGTTTCCTTCAGACTATTAGTGTATTACTATGAATTGATTGTTGTCGGTACACTATATACTCGTATTCACACGATGTATTGATATTCATTTGAATTTTATAATTTAATGTTTATATTTGTTTTTAAATAAAAATGTTCACACCCAGACTTTCGTCGGTTTAGTATACTCTCAACAACATTTATGGAAACATCACTGGTTACTAGGTATACAATTATAATCCAGTTTCAGCTCTAATAAGTAACCTTTTGAAATTAACCCACAGTTGTCTAACTGAGAAAAAAAGAAAAATATGACCTAAAAAATTAAAAACGTCAAAAAATGTAAAATAAAAGTTGCATAAATCGTAGTTACATAAATCAAATTATATATTTACAAAACTATATACTACAATCACCAAAAAAAAAATGCACTTTCCTACAAACTCACAGCCCTATTAATAACATATTGTAACGTAATCATTGAATCTTTTAAATATTCTTTCATTTATTTTTTAATTAGTATACTAATTTACTTATATTTAATTGGATAAGCTCCATCATATAAATTAATCCTACATAATTCATGTAACAATATTTTATTTTACTGTTATTTTATATTTTTATTACTTTTTTATTTGCCGGCAAGCTACACATAATATGTTTACAAGACTGCCTTCTAAACAAATAAAATAATACTTTTAATTATCTATCAAAATAATTTCTCAATTAAATTAATTGTGCATTGATTGACATAAATAAATATTTTATTTAAAATAATTTATTATTTTAGATTAACAAATCCTGTTAATATATGCAATAGATTACTGATTAAGAATTATGTTAAAAAAGGGATCAACAATTTAATAATTACCCGATAAAATGTGAATAACTGTCAACATTTCTCAATTCAACTTTGGAATTAGTACCTAACTACTAATTAAATATAAATATATCTACATACACGTATATTACCAATACAACAAAAAATAGTTTATGACATTCCATAATATTTTACATTAATATCTGAACTATTGACTATAGATCATTTATTATGATTATTGATTATTATATTTTATTAATATAAATATTATTCAATTTTTATAATTGTTAATAACTATCAGTAGGTATATTAAACTATACTGTGTAATATTGAAAAAATAATTTTCAAATTTCATAAATTTTTATTCATTTTGGACTATTTGTTTATAAACAACAAAATCGAATTTAATATCAAAGTACTTGTGCATAAGAATAAATTATAAGCCATTATTAAACATACTATGGGATGATGGTTTCTAACGGCTCTAACTATTGGGTAGCTCAGTGGCGTGCCGAGATAAAAAATTTTTTGATGCCAATCGCAAAATCTAGTTTACCACCCACCCACCCGTATTTAAATTCATCTTATTCAGAACTCGTATATCAATATTTCTCTACCTAGATATATACGATAATTATGTGATTTACATATTATCATCCAACAACAACCCACCCTTTTATAACTTGATGCCTGGGCTTCATTTAGACCTATATTCGGCACGCCACTGGGGTAGCTATCAGGGTTTATTCTAAAGTGCAGTTGGGCTTATTTTGCGTATTTGGAAAATCTAGACGCGTACGTGATAATAAAGTTTTGCGTAATTGATTATTATGATTTATTGTTGTAGATGAAAATAAGATAAGACAGCTATTTGCTGTCATAGTTATATAGTCATAGTTACTATGTTATAATATAACATATTATATTTTTACAATGTGAAAATTAATTTTGAATTTGATATAGTGAATCAGTGGCGGCACAAAATATTTTACTTCATGAGTCCTATTAGGATTTTGCCCATCCACTCACCCATCTAAAAAGAAATTTAAGGGTAGCTTGTAAAAAGAACTCCCCACTATTCGTTCTACATGCTACATACTCACTCGATACCCAATGGTCAATACCTACCCACTGATTTGAGTCCTCCAGGGACTCAAAAATCTGCCGTCAGGCCACCACTGTAGTGAATATACATCCTAGTATACCTAGTAAGTTTTATATATTATTATTTAATTTAAAAATATAATGTATAATATAATGTAAATTGTTTTATATCTTTTTAACAGGTTACATTTTAAATAACTTCACTTAAAAGCTACACATTTTCTCATTTTTAACTATAATTTTACAGTATATTTTGACAACATAGTTCTATTTTGATAGGCTTATTCGAACAAAATGCGTAGTTGATAAAAATCCTCAGAATAGGCCTTGGTAGCTACTGTAAATAAAATACCTATAACCAGAAAGGGATTAGGAAAACATTTCAACACGGGAAAATAGTAAATAGACTGGTACACGATTTTAGTTAAGGCTCATTAAGGTGCTGGCTAGGGGAGATCAGTCCCACCAAATATTTATTTAGTCTTCCCAAATATTTATCTACCCTCCACATAATAGGTACGGATAAAAATTAAAAAGTAATAGTCATCTATCAAAGCGATATAAAATAAAAAATTAGCCACCTCAAAAATAAAACCCTAATTGAGCCTATGCGAAACATTCTAATCCAGGGAACTTCAAACTTTTTCACTCAAGAGCCACATAAAATATCAAAATCTTTTAGTGGGCCAAAATTTACGAATACATATTAATTTTAATTTTATAGAAATGTACACTCATAAATATTTAAAAAACTTTGGATAGGTACTACATATATTTTTAGATTATTCACCATTTGATGGCAGGTCAATTAAAACTTGTTTGTGGGGCGGATGCGGCCCACGGACCGTAGTTTGGAGATCCCTGCTCTAGTCCATCGGGAAAACACCCCAATTCCTGGGCCAATCACCAATCCACCTCCGTCTAAGACCTAAGTATCTAACATACACAAAATTCAACAGTTTCTAAATATTGTACACCTTATAAAATTATAATTGTTACTCATTGTAGCAATTTAATAATACTCTAAAATTCTACACAATGAACTTAAAATAAAAACGATATAAAATGTACTATTCTATAAATGTTTTTCAGTCTTGAAAACTATCATAACCTTCTATGACTCAATTATTATTACTTATTAGTATAATTAGCTATACACATATAAAACCGGACGACCATGACAACCCCTGTCATTAGTTTCTTAACCAAATTTTTGTCATATATTTATCATAAATATAAATCATAACATATATACCTAATTATTTTGTAAATATGTATAGATTACATAATGTGTATTGTGTAGGTACCTATATCACATAACTTACAAAAATAACTTTTTCTCGATAACCACACGAGATATACAATACAAAAATGATTTAATTTTAATTTTTATAAACAACATGAAAAAAAAAAAAAAACGTTTAAAAATAAATCTTAAAATGACTAAACGTATAATAATACATAGACGTAGACATAAAACTGCAAACTAAAGATATTACGTCCAATTCAATAATAATACATTTAATATGAAGTATTCATGTGTACCTATGTAACAAACAGTGACATGCCTAGGGGGTGTTCTAATCCTCAAACTCCTTCCCGAAATTTTAATTAATTTAGAAAAAAGTATTACTCAATACTTTTATACAATGTAAGTTTAATATC